CTGGATTAAATATATTATTTCCAAAATGTAATCATGCAGCATGTACAGTATAATATCTATAACAGGCAGAAGAGGCCACAGCTCGACTGGGCCAATAACATAAAATAAAAATTCCAACCACAAATGCTCCCAAACAATTCCATGTCAGGACCCCCCAAAACATTCTACTGTGACTGCAGTACCAGGCTACGGCGAGCTGCCATGCAAGCCCATGGAATGCTGCGGCAGCTACTTTAAGCTGTGGCCGTTTGATTCTGCGGCAAGGGGCAGCCAAACTAAAAGCTCACTAAAAGCGAGAATCCTGTAACTGTATGATGTTGATTTTTCTTCCCACCTGAAACATGAACTCACCAGGTGCACAAAAATGGAACTGTTGTGACAAGCCCTGCTCCGCCGCTACTTGGTGTATTTGTAGTTAAATACCTACTAGCTTTGCAGATTCTGAGAATTAAATGCATATTTTCTTTGCAAAAATCAGTGAAGAAGTAGTAGTACTTCTAGAAGTAGAAGTAGATGTGAATATTATTCAAGAAAGTAAAATATCTGACCAGAGCTGCTGTTAAACAGCCTCAACTAACTTCATTTTATCAATATTAACACTACTGAGAAAGAAGAAGAAGAAAAAAAAAAGTTACTTGATTCAAATGAAATTACAGTGTTGAGGTACAAGTAAATTCAAGCTCCAAGTTTTGAGACATAAAACACTACACTCTCCTTGGACAGTGAACCTGAGATTCATATTTGTCATGTACACATTTTATTTTGTGCTCTCAAAAATCTTTGTGATTGTGAAATTGTTTGGTAGGGGGAGCTACTTCTGTTCCAAAAGTAAGTCCCATTTGTTTTTTTCCATTTTTCCAAGTATGTTAACTTCTACTCCCATGAATTTTGGCAAGAAGCACCCAAATGTAGAGCTTAAAATGATGTTACGTGCATCGCTGAAAGTGGGTAGAATCTACAGACTAAGCTGTTGAGTTAACAATGAAGCTCATATATTTATAATAACAATGTATTGACTAACAATGTGAAAGCAAATACAACAATGTGAAGGGGGACACTTGTAGTGATGAAGCAACAGCTCCCCTCAATTTAAAGAGCTTTATAGTGAGTTTCAGCTCATTGTTTAGCTGTCTGGCTGCAACTTTACTGTTTTAGTTCGCTCTCACTGCTCTAATAGACGACGTTCACACGGCAAACCCTTAGTGTTTAATTCAGATTTACTGTTCCTGTTTTCTGTTTGGCTGTCCACATCATTTTCCAATGTGGCTGATATCAGATTAGAGTGTGAACTGGTCACGGTCCTGAACTGAACCACATGCATTAAGTGTACACCAATATACTGCTCTGCTTGCTGCAGATGAGTTTGCAGAGCCACAAAGCTTCATCACTGAGAAGTATCTCTAGCCTTTGATCTACTAAATGATATTATAATGAATTCTTTAACATTTTTGTTTGTTCCTACTCTCATTGAAATTCTGTGCTTTCAGCAAAGTAATATCATCCTTTTAATGTTGTGAAGTGATGGTAAGTAGATCTGAGGCCTCTATCTTGAGGGTCCTTCAGGCAATCTCCTATTCCCACCCCTAACCCCCCCAAGATACACACACACATACACTATCATCTCTCTTTGAGATTACCGGGTAAGAAGTGGACTCTTTTTTAAGTTGGGATATGAACGGGACAAGTAGAGTTCAGTCGGAGCCATTATACAAGTTATTCCACAGGCATTCATCCTGTATCAGTCTCACATCAGTGGTGTACACACAAGTGTTGAAAAGTGCTCCTTGCAAGTGGCACTTCAAGTGAGAGTACCACTAAAGCATCTTCAGGTGAAGTGTGAGTGGATTATGGAGATGAATAACTGACAAATTCTCAAAGCTTTGGCATGCATTTCAAGTGGCTGAACTTTTGTATAGTGAGCTTCAAGCAACATTTTTTTTTTTAAAGTTCAGCCTTGAATTTGTTGTGTTTCGACATCCAAGACAACCATTTCTCCTGATCAATAGCAGGGTGCTTTCAGTATGCACACAAACACATTCCACTTGATGATGTTTTTTACCACTACAGCTTCTGTAAGATGTAAAGAAGGAAACTACTTAGATTTAAAAGCCACTATTCAAGCCGACAGTAGTTCAATATCATTTAATGAAACAAAAGTACTGCATACATCTTAATCAGAATAAAGCCTTACTCTCATTATAAGTGAAGATGGATTTTTAAGTGCTTGTAAATGCAGCCAATGTTAAAACAGCTTTTAGCATCATAATATAACCTCATTATAACGTGAATTTCTTGTCCTTGAAAAAAATGTGCGATCTCAGAGTTGGTTAGAATTTGTTAATAGGTGATATAGCTCCTCCATCCTGCAAACCGACTGCAGACTATTCTAGGGAGAACTTACTGTATGAGTAAATGTACACATTTTCTCTTGGATTGATGGCGTGAGAGGAGATATTACAGCTGGGATCAGATGGGTCACCTGGGATTAAGGTGTATAATTGGTGGAAGCCATGTGTGAGATGACACTGGGTGCTTCTGTGAGATATTACCATCAGTCTGAGCAGCCTAGGTACAGCAAGGCAAACTGACAAACATCTGTTGTCATTAAACAACCAAATTACTTCCTCTTTGTTATTGATATTTTGCATTCTTACTGACCTGAATTTACATATCAACACTCACATTTTCAGTAGATACAGACAATCCCATGTACCGTATGTCAACTGAGAAGTGCTACAGACAATCAGCCAACCAATATTGTGCATGTACTGTGTGTCAAAGGTATGTAAAGCTGTCCAAAATCAATATAATGTCAAAAGAAAGCAAAAACAAGCCAGAGACTGAATTTAACCAGAACTGCCTTTTAGCTGCTGTATTTGTCTTACAAGGATATATTCATTTTCATAGTAATAATATCTACTGGGTTGAAGCCTGGTGGGGCTGAAACCCATGTGGATTTTGTGCTAATTTATTTTTCTTCTAGAACGTTTTTACACATTTCTGTGAGATGGTACATCATAGACACATTAAATTTTCACCAATGATTGGAAGTTGATACCACATGCTGTTCAACAAGTGTAAACCCAACTGGCCTGATGTCAACAAATTAAAGCTCAAATTTAAAAAGTCACAACTCCTATGCAGTGAGTCTGATTCACATAAAAGTTGGTACAGACATCCATCTATGTGCACTCTACAACAAGTTTACCTCAAGAATCATTACAGTCTGCCTGCCTAGATTTTCCACCATTTTGAATTTTCTGAAAAACACATTTCTGACAACTCCTCTTAAACCATAGGTCTGATTTGGTACATTTCTAATGTACTGACCCATCAGCTTCAAAGTCCTTCTGTTAGTTTTTTAAGGCACATAATGCCCCCCCCCCCCCCCCTTAGATCACAGATTCTCTATCGTTTTATGACCCTCCATCAACCCTGAGATCTTCCACAGCTGCTCTTTTAAGTGTTCCCAAGGTCAATACAAAAACCTTGGGGATGCTTCTTTTAGTCACTATGCCCCTGAGTTGCTGGCTTTGGTTTTAAATGACAAATTAGTGAAGAACATACATTTAAATTGGACTATATATATGGAATTGTTTATAAAATCAATGCGAAACTCACAGGATATCTTTCATAACAATGTTGAACCACAACTGTAAAATTATTTGAAATTGCTCAATAGGGGGCGCCACAAGTTCCAAACAACTTCACTAGCCTGGTGCAAATTTGACCATAAATCAATGACAGTTTGTCCAAATACTCAGTGAATATTCTTAATTAAACTGTTGAAACATGTCCCCAAAATGTTTTAGCAATTGACCAATAGGGGGTGACAGGTAAGCAAAGAGGAGTATGGCCCTGCACAGATTTGGTCATAAATGAAAAAGCATCTGTTCAATTATCATAAAACCTCTTAGTTATCTTCGATGCAGGTGTCAGAAACTATAAGAACAAAAGCTGTGAAGGATCAAGACTTCTGACAGTCCGGAGAGCTCTAAGTTAAACATTATACTCTTGAATAGAGTCTGTGGAAGTTGCTGGTATAACCTATTCCTCAACTCAGCAAGAAGTGAGAGTGTCTTCATGTACAGCCATCATTAATAAAGTGTTGGCACCATTAAGAACAGTGTCAGGACTCTGAGCAGACCCAAACTGCTCTCTGGTCTGGACCCTGTCTCTGCAAATCAACACTGAGTTTAATTAAGCCAAGCTACGCTACCATTGACCCAACATTACTGTTTAACTTGGCAGGGCAAAGGGAAACCTATTTACTGTGTGAAACAAAGGCAGTTTTATATGGCTGCAGGAAAGTAGATTGCAAGGCTAATATTTGGAAATTGTTTTATTTGATTTCTGTATTTATTGAGTGTAATTTCTGAGCTCCTCTGCGGCATTTTTAGCATCAAACGTGCGGGTGTGTGGCCCAGCGGTCAGACGGCAGGCAGCCAGAGGTTTGGCTGGTTAGGAAGGACCAGCTCAGGCCTGATTACTGGGGCGTCCCCGCAGGAAGAGTTCTCAAGTCCAATAGATTAGGAGCTCTTCCAGAAACCACAGCAAGAGGAGAGGAGAGGAGACTGGAGAGAACATCGACCAAAGCCTTCACGAGAAGGTATTGCTCAACACAGTAAACATGATTGCAATCTTACTTCCCTATAAAGATACACATAAAATGCATTTTATATTTCCCCTGACCCCTCAACACTGTCTGCAAGTAATTTGAATCAGGAGAGCCAAAGTTGCATAATGCAGCTCTGAACATTTCAGTAAATATTCTGTGCTGAGCTCACTGTAGCTTACTTCAATTAACTGAAATTGTGGTTTTATAACATTAAAACCCAAATAGTTGTGATAATTAGTCAGAGCCGTCCCCAAGCAAAGAAAAAGATATGGCCTAAGTAGAACCAGAAAATGAGGTCCAATCAATAAAACTGTTTTGGTGCTGCTGCTGCAAGAAATTTAAGGTGGAAAAAGTGAATTCATAAAGAGGCATCAGATATTACCTGAAAGTGTTTGGTACATGCCCTGGCAGGAGGAGGAACTTCAACCTCAAACCTGAAGGACGGATATAGGGGAGACGATATTACAGACAGCAATTCCTCCCCTAGCTCTGAGTTTCTGAAAGAAAAAAATTAAAAAGCCTTATTTTCCTTATTTCTTGTTTTTTTTGTTTTGTTTTTAAACACAATAGTCAAACTGTAGTATTTAGCTAGGATCCCACTGCATGCTGTGATTTGCTAGTGCCTGTCACATTGACCCGTTGATGTCGGAAGCAGTAAGGATTAGGGCAAAGAAGTCATGGTTTCAGATATTCACTGAGATTAAAGAGGTAAATTTTTGAGAAATGTAGGGTACTACCAGGACAGGATTCCCAACACATTAATTTATTTGTGCCACAAATACAATATCTACCACCACTTATCGATTTTTTATTTTTTGTGCTGGACCGTTCATTGGGAGTGCTATGTATACTGTTTGGTATACAGACAAAAGAAAAAGGAACTGATAGGACACAGAGAGTCAGGTGGCATAGCAACAAGCACAGGACCTTTCTACACAAATAAAACTGGAGTTCAGGTTCCATGTGAATCAATGTTAGCTTATCATTTTCAGACTTAACTGACCCATTAATTTATTTTTTTTATGCATAAAGCTGCTAAGAGCACACTGTGTACATACACTTTAGCTGGAAAAATTAAATAGACCCATTTGTGACATATTTCAATGCTGCCAGGATTCCCAGGAATATATACCTGGGTGTAAATAACATTTTTTGCTAGAGTGTAAGCAGCCACATTGGCTATTCCAATCAGGGTACAAATAGCATTGTTGGCAACAGACCCCTGGGTGCTAATAGCATCTGCCAATTTTAAATTGTAGTTGCACCTAATGAAGACGATAGTGTTCTGCTTTAGTTACCAAAGAAGGAAGGCAATCCTTTGTGTTATTCTGGAGATTTGATAAGAGCACTAATTCACCTCTTAAGAACACTTCTCTCAATCACAACAGAATGCTTTCTCCTAAAATGAGTCATCACACAGACACAAGTATGTGCACAAATGTTTGTGTGAAGACCATCTGTAATGAATGAAGCCATAATTCTGGTTGTGTTGAAACCATCAGTGAAAATACAAGAATCATTTTTCCAAAACAGATACGATGTCTGTAAAATCACATCAAATAGAAGAGGGATATCCCACGTGTGTTGTAAAAACTTGAAGATTTAAGTGCAGCAGGCGGAACTAATACCAGCCTGTGCTGTTCCATAATCACATCAGTCTGGATGTTAGCATCAGCACAGACAGGTAACAAGCACACAACAAGCCTCCACAGCAAGAACAGTCATCTAAACCTCTCATCTTCTCTGCTGTGTGTGATACAGCATGTCACTGGTTTAGCCAGGCATTGCCACAGCTAATCAAAGTGGATAAGAAATGCATTAGTCCACACAGGAGCAGTCTGCCTTAGCTCGGGCCCGCAAAAGCAGGCCATGTAATTGACTAGAAAAAACGAAGTCAGTCAGTCGGTCACGGAGGACTCGAAATAGCCTCTCAATAAAATACATGCACACACACACACACACACAGTGCAGCCTCTATTTCTTCAGCGTGTGGTGCAAAAAGAGAAGTCTGTCCTTCAGAAGTGTTGCTATTTCTGTTTACCACAAGGCCCCAAATATTCTATCATTAGGGAAACTAGGAGGGAAAGGAAATACCTCTGGGGAAGACATGGACTCCATACAGCCGCACAAAGGAACCTAACTGCCATGGTGGACAAGTGGTTAAAGACTGTCATGTTACTGGTAACAGCTTTTATTTCCACAATATCCACGTGCGCATTCATGTAGAAGTGCAACAGAAGTGATATTTTCTCTGTTCTTATAAGAAATCATCAGCATTTTCTACTAACTGATTAAACAACCTATAATCAGTTCATCAAGGCTTTTACATTTATGGTTATAAATACCCAGAATTTGGTGTACCTTTCATGGGAAAATCTAAAGAAAAAAAAACTGAATATAATGTTTGGTGAGCTGAACTGAGTACTAAATAATAAGCATGAGCAACAAGCACCATCACTATGGCTAAATCATGCTGACTTGTAAATCACCTTGACTTGTGTAACAATGTGAAAGCGCTTGAATATGTAGTAGAGTTCATGGCAGCGACATGTTAAGTTTAAAAAAAAAAAGCTTAGAAACTATTTTTTCAAATGAAATCAAGGTCTTCAAAGTTCATTTTACCTCTACATAATACAGTAATTTTATTTATTTATTGCATGGCTGAGTGTTGCTGGACACTCCGCCATGGTGGACAAGTGGTTGCACTTGCTTACTACCTCTCTAGATGACAATGCACTTGATGTCAGTTCAAACCTGAGCCATTATACTTGATGTATAACGTAAGTCTTCTGTAGCGGCCTAGCAGATATTAACTTTTGCTATGGCCAACTGAAATACAATTCAGGCATTATCACAATCTCAAGCACCAGGCACAAAGAAGAAGAAGCATTTGTCCCAGCTAATCACACAAGCCAGAAGGGACAGACACATAAATCACTTCAGTGTGTAGGAATGGAAATGGAACATAATATTCATAACTATGTTTACATTAATGTATAATCAAATGAAACTGAGAATCATTGTGTTTTCATTACCTTAAAATTAGCCGTTTGTATCTACTTACAGAGCGGGTCCTTCTCCTCCACGCTGTCTGGTTTCAGAGGTCAATAGATGGATTTTTTTACTCCTAATGCTCCTATTCTGTGATTTTCTGAATTGCTTTACTCTGTAAATGTTGCATAAATAAAGCCCAATCTCGACCAATCTCCAACTAACATGACACTAACTGACATTAATCATGTCTATCACAGAGGTACTATGCTTAAACTTGAAAGGCTTTAGAGTTATTTCAGACACTGAGCACAATGCCAAAAAAACTAAACTGACACGCTCACCAGCAACAACATGGTATGCGTCAAATCTATACTCATGCAGTCACATTTCTCCATAATAAAGACCAAGTGCATTTGATTAAATGGGCGGGGATCCCAGAAATGTTTCCAGCCAGATTAAATTACGACACAGTGACGTTTTGATGGCCATTCTCATGAAACAATATTAAACATTCAGCCAGCTGTTGAAGAGTATGTTAATCAGTTTTTGGAAGGTGCCTTGTTTCATTTTGGCAGACAGAATAAAATATCTATGAATGCAAATATTTTCTACTAAGTTATCCACATTCTCACAGTGCTCATAATGTTTTTTACTGTATTATTTAACTGATGCAAAGATGACCAAGGGTTGGGTTTCCTTTGTGTCACATCTTTCTGTCAATAGGCTGACCTAACTATCAAGGGAAGATGGATGCTATGTTCCTTTCAATGTAAACATGTGAAACGTACATCTTAATCGCATTTACAGTAATCAGAACATTCTGTGCATGTACCCATTATGCACAAGATTGTGCGATGAACATCAGTTCTCACGGAAATGCATAGTAATAGTCATACAGTATGTCATGTACCTTAAAGAATTTGAAGTCCTAATTTGATCAAGTGTCTGTGACTTGGCCACATGTAACATTAAATGCATTTCCAACCTTAAGAACACGAGATGTTCTGGGTTTTACTTCAGGATAACTTAGTTATCTGGATTGCTATTAAGTTAGCTATAAAAACAATTTACCTCTCCAGTGCTGTAGTGCCTTAAACCTGCATTTATTCTAATGGCCAGCAGGCGGCAACTTCATTGATTGCAAAATGAAGTCAGATTGTATAGTCTATGTCAAAATGACCCAACTTCTCACTTGATGTATTACCTCAACAAAAATGTTCCTAATGAGTTTATAGTCTTCAATACAAAATGATGTTCACTTTGTAAATTATGGTCCCATTTAAAGAAAGAAAAAATGGACAATAAGGCCTTGTGTCCACCAAAGCATGTCATTCCCAGCTGAAAATGCCAGGAACTCTTCAGAAAATGACCAGATGGGAGCGCTTGGGAGCGTTTTGGGGGCGTAGCAGTTTTTCAGCTGAGATGCTTTGGTTGTGACTTGTTGCTATGATATAAAATATCTGCAGAAGCAAAAATGCCGGCACAGGGTAGAGTACTTGCTCTGGATACAGGAAAAGCTGAGGCATGTAAGGAGAGAGGAGTGACCCATCGGCCTATGTAAGTTCATGTAATAGAGACATATGTTATTATATATACAGTATATATTTCTGCTGTTGTTGTTCAGCACTTGTGTGAAGGGATGAGCACAGTGTTTTATCGCAGAGTTGAACAATTTTCAACTCTTGGTTGCTCAGGAAAAAAAATGCCAAACATGCAGCGCCCAGCAGCTCATAGCACTGCTGCTGATTGTAATGCAAAGAATTTAAAAAAATACGCTGGCCTAACAAAAAAACCCTGGGTCTACTTTAAGGTGTGGCTACCTTTTGATTAACAAGTTGCTGCCATGGCGACCTGTCAATCAGGACAGAGGCGTAGTAATGCGTATCCATGCCACCTTCACCATCTTGTCAAAATATGGTCACTTCTGGCTCCAAAAAACAAGATGGCAACAGCCAAAATGTCTCAAGGCTTCAAAACAGTAGTCCACAAACCAATGGTTGACACAACGGTGGCAACTGGGCTTAGGTGCTATCTGTGTTTTTTAACCATTCATACCTTCCTGACATTTTAACGGGGGTATAGGGTATATGACAGTACATGATGGTACCCCTCACCCCCCATTCCACAAGCTCTCTTAGCTATTTTAGTGTAAAAACTCCAAAAATGTCAAAAAAGGGAATATTTTACACCTATTTTCCTTATTAACCAGAAAAATGCAATCATACACACCTCTGAATTCAAGGTTCTCTCATTCTTCTTAAAATAAACTTAATGCAAACTCTTCAGAAACAAAACAAAACTCACCCAAACCGTCTTGGTTAGTCATTGTTCCAACTCTCAACAACTCGGGTTTGGTTAAAATAAGCCCTTAATTCACAGAGGTAGATGTGAAAGTATGCTGGCTTTACAAGCTACTGTCTCTCTCTGCCATTGCTGCTCGGCATTTAACTAGTTCTGTTACACTATCCCACCACTCGCAGTAACCATCTTTCTCAGGTCAGCTGCCTGGCCCACCAGTAGAGACAGAGCTCTGGTGATACATGTTGTACACTACATACATCTTCAATACAGCATTTGATGTATCAGTTTAATAGAACGTAGAGCTTTTTTGACAGTATTGAAAATCATGCCATCGGGACGGTATACACCCTCGTATACCGTCATAGCTCCTAAGTCTATTGGATACAGTCACTTCTTTTAAACAGTCTATGGAAACAACAAAGGCATGTATGTGCTAACCCTGGCTGTGTTAATGGCTCATTATAAAGAGCCATTATCTTTAATGCCATCCACATAATAACTGAAGTAAACTCCACGAGAACAGAACACATACTAGACAGTATCCAGGATATCTAAGCCTGCTAAGAGATAACTGACTGGAGATGGGAGAGTTCTTTCATCCCATATGCTCCCTGTGGTCTCAGCAGTCTGATAGGGTGACAGTATAACCATGACCTGATTACCTGTCCCCTGAAGCCTGTAATCACTAAAGCCAGCAGACAGGCACTGTCAGTCCGCTGACAGGGAGGATAATTGAAGGTGATGCTACATGCTGCTATCCCTTCTAATGGAATATGAAAACAAAGAGCAGGGACAAGGCAGCGGGGCACCAAAGAGGCATGAACTCCAGAGCAGGATATTTTCTGACTCTTCACCAGCCATGTTTCACTTTACCTGCACATCAGACTTTTAAAATATGGGTCTGTGTGGACTGTGGAGTGATGTCCTGTGGATTAGACTCCCTTGTACAATATCTTTTTTAATGATCAGTCTTTTCCATAGACATTCCCATGAAGTCTCAGGTTTTCCCATGTTCTTCAAAGACAAAAGGGTGTTGTAAAATTAGTGTAATGATAAAATGCTGATGCACTTGTCTGTGTCTCCTGGTTCCACAGTTACAGTGTAGACTATTAAAGAAACATTAAACCTGCATCATTGGGGCCATCCATAACGTTCTGACAGGACTTTTTTTACTGGCTAACTGTGACAGGTTGAAACACCAACAGCAAACGACGCCCCAAAACAAACATCTCCTTTAAACACAACTATGTTCCTAATGATTTAATGTTGTGATAATACTGAGAGAAGCAGCATAATTCAAGAAGGAAAGGCCAGAAAATGGTGATGGTGAATAAACAGAGCAGTTCAGTCCAAAATTAGCTATCGACTTTTAGAGAATTTCCCCAGGCCCTGCCTTGTTATGTGAGCAAGTTGGACTATCTTCACGCTGCCTTTAAATACAGGTCAGTGACAGGGGGAGATGCTCTGCGGGATCCTGGGTAAATCCACAAATGTATTGAATTATACTGGAGAATAACTTTCAGTAATGCTAAAAGTACACATGCCATGAGGCACAAAGTGTGTTGGAACCTCTGCCATTCTCTTCCTGCTGACTTTGTTTTTGGTGATGTCATTTCCCTACCAAAAAGCTCCAAACATCATTCAAAAGAGTGAATTTGGAGAAACTGAAAGAGATATAGGAATGTGAACACAAAATTAAAAGGTCCTAATCCATTTGTTACCATGAAGAAATTCAAAAGCATTTTTTCATCTTAAAATAGTATTTCTCCAGTCAGCCATGCTTTGTCATTGTTTCTCATTTTGGTCCTGACACATCATAAATGTAAGAGTCAGTAATTCATGTTTTCATCCTTGTTCAATTATGAAACATACATAAACATAAAGATCAGCAGTGGTCATGAATTTGTTCAAAAATGGTGACTGAATCTAATTTTCCAAACACTTGGTTGATGTTACTGCTGTATTTCCTACATGACATATCTAAAATTAAAGTAACAATGTGTAAGATTTAAGGGAATTTAGTGACATCTAGCGGTGAGGATGCAGATTACAACCAGCTGAAACTTCTCCTAGTTGTAATTCCTTCAGTGTTCATGGTTCAGGGGGCTTTTACCAGGAGCCAAGTCATTCACAGAGGTCCCTTCCTCTCCAAAAGAAACAAACCTGGTGATTCAAACTGGTCAAAACACTGAATAAAGCAGTTTCACTTTACAAATCAGTGTTTCTCTGACACTATTTGGCATGTCAGTGACAGGATGCTAGTTTAGCACCTGCAAATGTGCTCACCTTTATTCTCTGCTAATTTAAGATCCAGACGTTCAGGAGATTTTTACCAGGAGCTGAATTATCAGCAGAGGTATTTTCCTCTCAAATAGTAATTGGCCCATTGATTTAAACCAGTAAAACCACTGAGTAAAGCACTTTCACCTTAAAGAAGCGTATTTCCAATGCTCTTGTCATGGAGGGGCTACTAACTACAATGCGAAAACACGAATCGCCCTTTCTAAAGCCAGTGCTTAGTTTGTCCGTTCTGGGCTGCTGTAAAATGGTGGCGCAAATTGGCAGTCTCCGCAGATGAGGACCTGCTTCCTATTAATTGAAAAATGTGCTCCTTTGACTCTGATGCAGCCCCTCTGTCTGCACTCATCTCTCAGTAGCCTCACTCACTGTCACACCCACAGCACTATCTGATTGGTTTCACATCACAAGTAATGAGTAATAGCCTACCAGCATCGAAGGCTGCTATGCTTCTGTGTGTTACTGGATGTGAACTTCAGTTGTATGAGAACTGCAAGGAGAGGAAGAGGGAGTGAGACTACGCCTGTATGCAGCAAAACATGTGACCCGGTGATCATAGTTTATAAAAATGCAGTGTGGTGAGGATATGGACATGTCATACACCATACGTATGTAACACGTACCTGCTGATGCATATTTAAGCAGCATTAGACCCGATTATATAAGTTATCTGTCACCCTATTTGTCACTGTTAGTAGAGACTTTAGTTTGAATAATGCACTGAATGTAAATGTAAAATTTTATATCAAAAATGTTCTACAATAGCTACAGTATAGAGCCCTGAGAATAGACAAAACAAATAGTAATAGCACTAAATGACCCTGTCAATGTGTATATGTCCATGTAACTATTCTGTAAGGATAGACTTGAGAAAATGTGAAGCTATCCTTTAAATCCAGATGTTCACATTGCTGCATGAAACAAAATGACATCAGCTCTGACAAAACTGGCAAATAACAAAAAGCAATTTGTAGTTAAAATAATTCCCCCATATTACCTCTGTGATGTTTGTAAAACTGGTGTTTGTGGTGTTACTGTCCCTTCTAATCCTGCTTCAGTCAGTGATTTCCCACAGGATGTCCTTTAGGTGTTAGCTGGGACACACAGTATGGTTGGTATGTTTGTGGTGCTGTAGCATTTTGGGGATCCATAACTACATACTCCATACTTGCAGCACTTTGTGTTCAGCTGCATGGCCTAAACTGAAGTTTTGGTGGTCCAATAGCTAACAACACAGATATCTTGATGTATTTATTGCTGTGAAGTCACTGTAATGGTACTGAAATATCCCTGTAGGGACTTCTAACATGACTGCTGTTGAATTATAACGTCATTTTCTGTATTAGCTGTGCTCCAACTCCAGCCCTACAGGAACCTCTCTAAGAAATGATCATACACATAAACCATACCATACTTATTTTTGGAAACAAGCAGAGTCCATTATATTCAGTGAGACCGGATGTAGTAGTAGAAGAAGAAGAAGAAGAAGAATTTGAGCAAAGTGAATCAAAGTTTTATAAAGCTCTCCATCAGGATACTTATCACACACAAACATGTACAGTAGACGGGCTGCCCTCACATACAGTGACACTTAGCCACACAATCACAACCACAAGAAACTTAGCGCCATTAAACGGCTGCTACGTACGTACATCCACTTGTGTGAGGCGTTTAATGTCATTATTTGAAGCTGTTTAGAAAACAACAGCGTAACGGGCCAAGTTACAATGTGTTCAAAATATCGCCACATTATATGAAGTACAGAGGCTCCCCTCCCTCTCAGAGGACACACACACAGTACACAGAGTTTCTGACAGAATATAAAAGAGAAGACTTACCCCTCTGTAACCTTCTCTCTTTGTTTTCTTCTTATCAAAGTCACTCCGGCACACCAACACAGACAGATTCCCGTCCGCTATATTTAGGAAACTGACAAACTCAGAGCAGCTCGAGGCGTAGCTCCTCCCACCAGTGTGCGTGCAGCTACGTCCGCGCGCGCGTGCTTGGGTCATCCTACAATTATGGGTGTGAGGGTATGAGTGTGTTTTGTATTATAATGTGCAAGTAACTTCGTGTATCATTTCAATTATGTCAACATTACTTTACAGGAATGTTTTGAATTTGTCTGTAAGAGTAGCTGAAGATAAAATTCATCCTCTCACACAGCAGCTGACACAGCATCATATGAAACATATGATCCTCCTGATACTAAGTGCTGATACCAGACTTTTCAGCTGCAGTGTCAACCCAAACACCAGCTCAGTGTAATAACCGATCCACTGATATCTTATTGAGCCCTGGCCCTGAAGGAAGAAGGAGAAAGCTTGTGACTCAAAGGCCACGGGTTCAAGTTCCTGCAGCAGCTGCTCGTGACGCAGCCAATGCAGCGTCACTGTCTTCCTTCAGCAACACTGTCACTACCAGCACAGCTTTCATTTTCAAAGGTTTTTCAAAGGGAAAACAAAATATGAATTGATCATACACCTCAGCACTGTGTTGTTGTCATGTAAGCTCATTGATAGATAAAGACCAAGCTTATGATTTATGCTCAGGTAAGTCTGTTGAGAGCCTGAAGGTGATTGGTTTGACAGAAAATAGAAGATAAAACTAGAGAGTTTACTCAACTCAACTCAAATGTATTTATAAAGCACATTTAAAAACAACTCAGGTTGACCAAAGTTCTGTACAAAAGGAATAAAATGCTAAAAACGCAAACATGAGGGGCACCATAACTGTCAGGTACACAGCTCATACATTTAGAGACACAACATACACAGGGAAAACCACATCAGGGGGACTCAAATGCTAATGAATAAATGCAGGTTTTGAGCCTGGGCTTAAATGAGCCAGTGGTGGGGGCAGATGTGATTAGGAGGGGTATGCTGTTCCACAGTTTGGGGGCAGACACAGCAAAGGCACGATCGCCCCTGAGCTTAAGTCTGGAGCGTGGGACAGCCAGGTCCCTCAGGTCAGCTGACCTAAGGGACCTGGGCGTAGAATAGGGGGTTAGAAGGTCTGTGATGTAGGATGGGGCCAGACCATTAAGGGCTTTGTACACAAACAGGAGAACCAATACACACTATAAGATTCTCATTGTAAATTTAGACACTTGACCTTTCAAGAAGAACATTTAGTTTCACAAAAATATGTAATTACATGCAATTTATGATGGTGGACTTATTTGTACTCCTACTTAGCTGCCAGAGAAGTCAAAGTTGCAAGGATATTTCTGTTTCTTATTTCGTCTCTTATCCCTGGAATATTTTTTTTTTTCAAATATAACCATCTTATATGATAAAATAGCCTATTCTTGTGCATGTTTTCTGCAAATGTTCAAAAAGTGGCATTGATTTCTATATTACTGTTAACAATACAGAGGTGTCAAATGTTTTTAAGCAATGATATATCAGGCATTATGTCACTACAGACAATGTAAGCTGTTGGGTGGAATGTTTGCTTTGGCAAGGAAACGTCAATGAAACAAATAAGGGCAAAAGATACATTGTCCTTCAAACAAATGTATTTGTTTTCACTAGTAAGAGGCTACTTTTAGAACTGTGTGTGAAATAAAATATGCTTTTCAAGCAGTTCTTTAAAAGCAATCAGGAGCTTTAATCTGTTCCCAATATATAAGATTGAAAGAAAAGTAATAAACCCAACCAGATAACATAAGGAACCATTCTGTGTTTTGAAACTAAACCCTTCAAACAAACACATTACAAGTTGTCATTCCATCACTGGACCATCAGGAGGCAAAAAAAGAAAACTCTGGCGCCACCATGTGTCTTTGAGTCAGATGACAGCTGAAGCACTGGTTAACAGCAGGTGAGAATCACTAAGGTATTGTAGCAGTGTGGATAAATCAATACTCTTTATTTTTTGTTTACTTCAAAGACTAAAATGTTGTTTCTTGCAAATAAATCACACAGTGAAACTCAGCATTTTGTTCTTTGAAGTTTTGTGTGTAGGTGTGTTTGACTCTGTCTCCCCCCACAGGCTGTAGGCAGAGTGAAGGCTGTCCTTCCACGGCCTCAGCGTGGTCCTCCCTCAGCAGTACCTGCTGTATTTTGATCCTGGAGCGCTGGAGTTACAGATAAACTGGGAATTTGATCATCACCAGTTGTTTGGATATGATGTGTGTTTTGCGACGCAGAGAACACACCTGTGTGGCATCAAGGATTTCATACAATAGCTCTAAATCAGTACTGAAAATAATTTAAGAATTAAAATGAGACTTTGTGTCTGCTACAGTTGATGCTGTAGAGTAGATAAACACCCTTTGAAAAAAATCTCCTAAGCAGCACAGATCTGAGAATAAATCGTTTACATTTAAAATTTATGCTTGGATTTACAGCTGTGGAGGTGATGAACTTGAAACCAACTCTAGTTTACAATGTCTCTCTAACACAACAAGGCAGCTTTACAAACACACACAAGAAAGGCACACAGCAGTCTGCCCTCACGGAGGATTCTGTAAAATTGTTTTCCATGCCATCATGTGTCTTCATCTTCATCTTCTAACCGCTTCATCCTCTTGAGGATCGTGGGGGGGCTGGAGGCTATCCCAGCTGACATCGGGCGAGAGGCAGGGTACACCATGGACAGGTCGCCAGACTATCACAGGGCTGACACATAGAGACAGACAACCATTCACACAATCACATTCACAATTTAGAGTTATCAGTTAACCTAGTCCCCAATCTGCATGTCTTTGGACTGTGGGAGGAAGCCGGAGTGCCCGGAGAGAACCCACACTGAAACGGGGAGAACATGCAAACTCCACACAGAAGGGCTCCCACACCCGGGATCGAACCGGCAACCCACTTGCTGTGTGGCGACAGTGCAAACCACCACACCACCGTGCCGCCCTCCATCATGTGTCTATTGAAGTTAAAATGTTTAGGGTTATGTACCCTAAAGTGTATATAATATGTGCTGAGATTGGTAGTCACCTTTTTCTATTTTAATCTGCTCTGGTTCCTCTTACCTGTCACATTCTTGATCATATATTCATTTCATTTCGACTGTACTCTCGGCTGTTTGTGGATGTTTTTGACATCCATAGAGAGGGGAAACAACAAGACTAACATATTTTATTTTGGCCTATCATTTTCATTTGTGAAGCCTTTATTTGTGTGAGTCCCTTTTTGTCACTGACCTTGGGCCAGTTTGTGACTCTTCCTAAAGGGACAATTCACCCCAAAATCAAAAATACCTATTTTTCCTCTTACCTGTGGTGCTATTTATACATCTATTGTTTTGGTGTGAGCGGACAGTTGGAGGTATCCGTGGTAGAGATGTCTGCCTTCTCTTCAATATGATGGAACTAGATGGCACTTTTACAAAATGTAAAAAAAAAAACAGAAAGAAAATTACAAATACAAACTCAACAGCAATGTCTCTTTCCAGATATCATGACCAGGGGCCTCATTTATAAAAGAGTGCTTAGGATTCATACTAAAAGTTGACGTGCGCCCAAAAGCTGAAAATGGCGTGCACCAAAAAATAATATGATTTATAAAACCGTGCACACGCACACTTGCACGCAATGTTCTCTTTATAAATCACAGACCTCCTGGAGTTGTGCGCACCCAGATCCACCTCATATTCTGCCCTCTACACACCCTAGTTCAACCATAAATGGTCATGCAAATCACCTCATGAATGCGATCTGCATATAAATAAGCCGGCATGCGAGTGTTGTGTGAGTCAAGGCGACGGGTGAGAAACGAACCAAAAAACGGAATTTCTCCGAGACTGAGCTAGAGACCCTTTAATGGGAGATGGAGGACTGAAGACAGATTTTATTTGGTGGCCACAACAGCAGGATCACTAATAAAAGAAAGCGAAAAAAAGTGGTAACACATCAACGCTGCTGATGCTGTCACCTGTGTCTGTGGGACTGTACGGACAGTGACAGAGAAAAAAAGTGGTCTGATCTAAAGGCAGACCAAATATTTCTACTCCTTTACCAACATGTAGTTAATGTGTTGCTTTTAAATTTGAGGATGTTTGACATTGATGTGCGACATAAAGAATCACATTTATTAAAGGTGGAGGCAAAAAGGAGTATGTGCCAGTGCCATCTTGCGCAATTACGCACGAGGGTCACCGCAGTGTTTAGGCTATATGTTTATGACAATTAGTCTGATCAGACTCCCGGCCTGAATTACAGCATGAACCAGTGGTATCCCTGTCCCAAAATATAACGTGTAATTTGAAATACAATTCAAAGATGAAAGTGTAATAGGCGAACACGTATCTTCATGCCGGTTTTGTCATGAACAGCACATGTCTAAGTAGCGCTGATGAAATGAGTGTAACGGTTGTGCTTAATGGCTGTATTTCGAGACATGATAAATGCACTGGAAATATTTAGCTAAATAAATAAATATATTCCATGCAGTCTCGCC